TGACACGTTGTTCGGCGCGACGCGCGGATCACTTCCCGGCCCCCCGGCGTCAACGTCCCGAGTTCTCCTTGGGAACCCCCAAACCGGGTGGTGAGATACCAGGTGGCGACCTGGAATCCCCAAAAAGGTCACCGCTGGGTTTGGGGACACGGGGTCACCACCGGGTTTTGTGACTCCTGGACCCACCAGTGCTCGGGACATCCTCGGAAAACCGCACGAGTCCCCAAACCGGGTGGTGACACCAAATCGCCCGAGACTCACCGCCAGGTGTTGTCACCACCATGTTTGGGGACTACCAATCCAAGCAGCAGTGCCTGACCGTGTGGGGCCCCCGGGGGCCCTGAGCCTGGCCGACATTGACGAGCTCCCGAGCCCAGGCCACAGCATCCCCAACGTTGACCCAGTTCATAGTATACCAGTTTTTGTTCGGCCCAGTTTTCGTTCGGTCGCGATCAATAGCGACCGATCGGCACTCCCAATTGGTCGCGACCGATCGCGACCGAGTTTGCAGCAGATCGACCGCGACCGATACCTGAGTCTGAAGCAAAATCGGCAGCGACAGATCTCGTCGGTCGCGACCAGAAAATCAGGCATCCAATGATCATGGTCGCTGCCGCCCTCCCCAGACCCACTCGCGTCGGCAAGTATCCCGACGGGGGGGTTCTTCTGCGAATGTCGGCTTCCGAGGCCGTCAACAAAACGACTCAGGATAGGCAGCCGCTCCCAGGGAGTGGGTCCAGGCCTTTTGGGGGTCCACGCTGTGGCAAAATCACAACTTCGAAGATCTGGGCCGCTGTCGTCCCCGCAGCCGCCTTCGCCGCCGGCGCCGTCGGCGTTGTCGTTGTCGCCCTCGGCCGTCGGGCATCATCGTCGTCGTCCTTCGGCGGCCCTCGGGGCCCCGTGGGGGCTGGGGCCGCGGGCTGCTGGACGGCGGATCGAGCTCTCTTTGCGTTGCTGGGCCTTGTTTGGTTTCGGGGGCGCCCTCGTCGCCGCGGGGTGCATCCGCCTCGGAATTGAGGCTGGCTAGGTCGCACCCGAGGGCAAGGCCAAGTGTCCGTCGTCGTTGACGTCAGTGTCGCCGTCGTCCTCCTCGTTCTCTGGCTCGTGCTTTGTGCTCGTGCTCGTCGTCGCCGCCGTCCTCAGCCGTCGTGGTCCAACTCCTCAACGCCCTCCTGCTCCTCAAGGTGGAGAGGCGGGAGGGAGGGGAGAGCGAGCACGAGAGGGGCGGAGAACGAGGTCGAGGGGAAGCAGAGGGCGGAGGCGAGGAGAAGCAGGCGCCGAGGCGAGCGCCCAGACGGCGAGGCGGGAGAGAAGGAGGAGGAGGGGGACGAGGCCGAGGCTGGAGGGCGAGGCGGGCCGCTGGTCCGAGGAGCAGCGGCGGCGGCTCCGAGGGTAATCGACAGGGCGGCGGCGGCGGGCCCGCCGCGGCGCGGAGGTGCCCGTGAAGCGGCTAGACGGCACCGTGGACGCCAAGCCCGTGCCGTCGTGGCGGTGCCACCGTGCGGGGGGGAAAGCGGAGACCCGCGCCACGAGGGCGGCGGCGGCGGCCGGCGAGGGCGACGACGAGGGCAGCGGCGAGGGCGGCGACGAAGGTGGCGACGTCGACGACGCGGCGGTGGCCGCGGCGGCGGCGGCGAAGCCAAGACGGCGTCGGCAAGGACGACGAGGACGGCAACGACGACGACGACGACAACGCCGGCGGCGGTGGGTGGGGCGGCGGCGATGGGGACGACGACGAATGCGAGGGCTCCAGAAATGGGAGAGGGGTCTCCGATGAGGGACGGGCTCTGGGGTGATTCAGCCAAGCGCAGAGGGGGGTGGGGGGAGGGGGGAGGGCTTCTTAGAAGCACCCCTGCTTCTTAGAAGGCGCGGGCCTTACCTATAGATGTAAGGCCGGCGCCTTCTAAGAAGCAGCCTCCTTCTAAGAAGCCCTCCACCCCCTTGTGCGCACCGCCAAGTGATGCATCGACCCCCAATCGCCCCTGGATCGCTGGCAGGGGCCCGACAGCGCGCCCCGTCCAGGAGCGCTCGCATCCGCTGTCGGGGATGTGTCGCCGATCTGTCGGCGATGTCTTGCCGATGCCAGCGCGGTGCAGCTCAGAAACATTGAACCACGTCTCTGCGACAGTGTGAGCAAAAGAGAGGACAGGCGCGCGGACAGCTCGTGGGAGTGGGCATTGAAAAAAATGATGTGGTGCAAAAAAAGTGAGGTCAAAATCAGCAACGGACGGCCATAGCTGGGAGTCGCCGCAGCCGCTTCCCACCCCTGGTCCGGTTCCCCCCCCCGGCGTTGCCTCCTCAAGAGGGGCGGGCGGGAGCGTGAGGAGAGGGAGGGAGGAGAGCCTTCAGCTGCGCTCGCCAGGCTTCATTCGTTTGCTCCTTGCCCAAGTCGGCATATCGCATTTCTGTCGCATTGATTCGCTAACGCCACAAGCTCGCACTTCAGGTCCGATCAACGTCAAAAAAAGGGAGGAGAGCCGCGCAGGGTGGCCAGGGAGCAGAGCCCGCGGTACCCAGGCCTCCGATGCCCGCGGGGTGTGCTTCCCATGCGCGAGTCCCCGGGCCCCCCTCGCGTCGCAGCATCACGACGTCGGGGGTCTGGGTCTCGACCTGTTCCATGAGGGGCGTTTGTTTCGTCCTGGATTGGTTTCTTGACCGCCCCGGGACTTTAGGCGGCCCCCTGGGGGCCGAAAACGGCGAAGAACGTCCACCTCTAACACGTTCGGGGCGTTGGCGGAGGGTATGGATGCAACGCCGCCCCTCCAGGCTTCCCAATCGACCCCCCCGAACTTCCGGCAAGAATTTTGAGGCAGATCCGGGCCGCTGCGACGAGGGCGCCCCAAGAAGGCCCCAAGGTCATGCCCAATGTCTTTATTTACTCTCGAGCCCCGAGCCTGGTCGGCGTCCCCCTCGAACGTGTTACCCCCCAGTTCCGGAGGACGCTAACAATACGCCTGCACCGGCCTGGGCCGTGCAAGCCGTGTGCCAGATTGGTGCGGGCCTACAGCTGGCATCGTCCACGGCGCTGCAGTTCCGCGGCGGCGGCCCCAGCGCGGGCGCTCGAGGCTGAATGCCGCCAGGGGGCTCAGAGCCTTGACGACGTCGAGCGATCTGCGTTATCGGGCCGCGGTAGCTCAAGAGTGAACGATCCCGGACGATCCACGCGCTGTCAGAAGCCAACGTTGATGTCGTCGCGACGTGAGCCCGCCCGTATGCTCTCCCCACTTGTCCACGCAGGGGATTTGCCGCTGTCCGCCGATCTGGGGACGCGCCCCCGAGGACGTCGCAGAGCGCTGGATATGGATACAGCCCCCGTCCCGGGGGGCGGGAATATCCAGATCTACTGGCCTGGGAGGCCCTCGCGTGCACGTCCCTACATCGGCGGATATGGACAAGTTCCCGACGTGGAACGCTTGGGGTCGTCCTCGAAATCGACCCCCCCGGACCCGTCCCGTAGTGCGTTCTGAGCAGACTAAGACCCTTGAGGCCCCGAAAGGGTGAATAATATCTCAAAGCGTCAACCCTCGAAGTTCGATCCTCGAGCCTCGGGCCCAGGTTTCACAACGTGAAGTACCAGGCCGGCCACTACGATGGCGCCGCCGCCAAGGCCGGAGGAAGGAGAAGCGACACGAATCGACACCACCCCAGAGGTTTGGACATGTTCTGTGGAACATATGCTGTTGGGTCTTCGTGGTGACTCCGCAGCGCCATGCGCATCCACACAGACACCCGCACACACACACACGCATCCTTCTTGCCTCTGCTCTCTGCACCTCCTCGCCTCCGTGCCGCTGCCTTCTGCAGGTCCATGTCGGCACAGCCCTCACCAGTTCCGTGGCCCCCTCTGGCGATCAACCTGCGGCCCCGGTGGGCATGTCCACATGGCGCCGCCCCGCCCACTTCGGCACCTGACGCGCTTCGTGGCCCCATGGAAAGCGACACATGCGGCGCCCGTGGGCATGTTTGCATGGCGCCCCCCCGCCTCATTTCGGCACACACCTCCCACGCTCCGTGGACCATAAGAGGCTCCACCTACGGCCCCAGTGGGAAAGGTCGCATGGCGACTCTACTTCATATCCGTACACCTCTCACTGCCGTGGCCCCCCATGGGGCTCCACCTGCGGTCCCAGTGAACGTGGGGCTCCACCTACGGCCCCAGCGTAGGCGTCCTCATGGCGCACCCGCCTGCCATTCTGGCACGCTTCTTATTCTGATCACGCCCCATTTCGGCAGGCCCCCAAAACGGAGGTTAGCATCACAGTTGCCTGAAGCTGCCAAGGGTTAGGTCCTTCGCTTGGGAGCAGCGCAACAGTCCTGGGGCCCGACAACAGCCACCAGAGGCCAAAACCTGTGGGACAACACAACAAGAACCAACACCTCGGTCTTGAGTTCCTCGGCTGGGCGACCGAGGAGGAGGGAAGGAGGCGACCGAGGAGCAGGGAACATCGAGGCTGAGCGGGGGGGGAGAGCGGCTGGGCGCGAAGTGATGGGAGGCGATCAACAAGGAGGAGGGGGAGGAGGAGGAGGGGGAGGAGGAGGAGGAGGAGGAGGAGGAGGAGGAGGAGGAGGAGGAGGAGAGGAGGAGGAGGAAGAGGAGGAGGAGGAGGAGGAGGAGGAGACTGTTTTGGAGGGGGAGGGATGAGGAGGAGGAGGAGGAGGAGGAGGAGGAGGAGGAGGAGGCCGGCCGAAGGCCGAAGGCCGAAGGCCGCCGAAGATCTTCCGTGTTAGATGCTCGTGGTGGGGACCCTGGGGCCCATCTAACGGGTCTGTTCGACTCCAGTTCGATTCAGGTTCGACTCTCCAGCCGACGGACGTTCGACGCAGCCTCGACGCACGAGTGGAGCGAGTGGCTCCAGGAAGGTCCCCAGAATTTTGCATCTAACCGATGCTCCCCTGGATCGGCGGCGAAGTCTGAGCCCGCACCCTCGCCGATCCACGATTCTGGCAACTCGATGGGCGGCAGGGGTAGGGCTCGGAACTCGTCGAACGGGTGGCGAGATCCGAACCACACTCCCGCCCCCCATCGATTCGGGGGAATCGATGGCCGGCGGGGGCAGGGTTTGGAGGCAGCCTCGCCGGAGGGAGGAGGAGGAGGAGGAGGAGGAGGAGGAGGAGGAGGAGGAGGAGGAGGAGGAGGAGGAGGGAGGAGGAGGAGAGGAGGAGGAGGAGGAGGGAGGAGGCGGGGGAATCGATGGCCGGCGGGGGCCCTCTCCATGGAGGCAGCCTCGCCTCCCGGATCCATCCCTGATGGCCCCGGGGCCCCGCAGTGGGCCCCGGAGGGGTCGAGGCAGAGCGCCTTGGAGGGCAGAGCTCCACCCCGCGAGGGGAGATCTGTCGGCCTGCCGGGGCAGAGCGCGCGCCTCCGGCGGCCGCTCGGAGCGAGCCCGGGCACACCCGCGGAGCGCCCTCGGCGAGGCGCAGCTGCGGGAGAGCAGCCCGAGGCAAGAGGGCCTCCAGGTCCTGGAGGCCCTCTTGCCCCGGGCTGCTCCTGGAGGCCCTCCTGCCTCCTGGGGGCCCTCTTGCCTCGCTGGCTCCTGGAGTCCAGGAGCCGGCGAGAGCCTCCGAGAACGAGGGAGCAGCGCCGGGACTGGCACGAGGCATGCCGAACGTGCCTCAGAGGAGGATGGAGCGCAGATCGTCGGAGACGTGGGCTCCCCTGCCAAGTTGCCCCCGCGAGGGCCCCCGCCGGAGATCGCCCAACACTTCCCGTCGGCATGTCTTCGCGACGTGAGGGGGCTTGGGATCCGAATCGAGACAGGGGCCGAGGATTGACGCCCGGATTGAAAAAACCGTATCGTCGGATGTGGTGCCGTCCATTCTTCGCGTCACAAGAGCTCTGTATCGGAGCGACGGTCATGGCCAACACGGGGTCACATAGCCCCGTTGGGTCACACCAGCCCCGTTTGGCTCCTGAGGGCTCCCCCCGAGGGCCCCCACAGAGGGGTCACACGGCATGCCCGCCAACGCGGGTGTGTGTGTGTGTGTGTGACTGCCGCAGGTTAGCAACGCTACAAAATGGACGCGGCCGCGCGAATTCTGCGTGATTGCCGTCGTCGTCCAACCCGCGACCCGCCCCGCGACCCACCCGCGCCCGCCCCCCTCACTCTTCTCCGCAACTCCGGGGTGCCACCTATCGTCGCATACTTACCAGTTTGAAACATATCCCTATCCCTATGTTTGACATCACCTCACCTCGATGCCGATCTTAAGGATTCCCTCAGTTTCTGAGGGCCTATCCCCAAGATTGTCCTCGCTTTTGGCTCGCCCATCCTAGGGATAGGGATGCGTTCGAGGCTGGTTAGATACCCGGGCTCCTGCCAAAGGGGCCGCTGCTGAACGTAGCGGGGCCCGCCGCGCCGCTCTCGCGGCGGAGCGCCGCCAGCGGGCGGACCGCGGGCAGCACCGCGCGCTGCGGAGGACCCCGCACGCTGCCGGAGCCACGGGCCGGCGGCGCTGAGGCCCAGCGGCGTCGGGGGCTCGCGCAACCCAGAGCCCCTCGGGTCATGGCAAAATCACACAAAAAGTACATTTAAAAAAATGCAAACAAACACACACACACACACAAAAAACACACACACACACACACAACCACACACGGTGATTGTGTGTGTTTTTTCCACGGAAGGTTTTGTGCTAGCTGCGGCCCATCCCGCCGCCGTGCTTGGTTTGCGGGTCGGAGTTCTCAGGGATGCGTCTTCGGGTCTCTTCGGAGCGCTCCCGGGGGCCTCGTCGGGAAGTTGGAATGGCGAGAACGCCACAATCATGCAAAAGCTTAAAGATGTTTTCTGATGTTTGCCGCTCGGGGCCCTCTTGGGACATCCTTTGGAGGCCTCTTGTGGCGTCTTGGCGGCCTCTTCGTCCTTGGACCATCTTGGGCGTCTTGGTGCGGTCGTCGGGCGTCTCGGGCCCCACTTGGACCAGCTTCAGGGCCTGTTCGGGATCGCTCGGCCCGTCCTGGGGGGCCCCTTGAGTCCCGGAAAGGCATGCGACAAGGTGCGCCAGAGCCCAGGGGGTACGCGACAGGCCCCAAGAGACTTGGCACTTCGGGGTCCAGGCCCCTTCGACCTTGGAGACTCCCCAGGAGTAGGAATCCATGCTTAGAGGATGAGGCGAAGGACCTGAGGACACGCCCACTCCGTGCCCAGAGGCACGGTGGCAGATGTTCGGCCTCGGAAGGTCCTTACCGGACCTCGATTCAGGATGGAAAACCAGTCCTTGGGAACGGTTCGAGACCGTGGGGGGTCGACGTCATGAACAAATCATGACGTAAGGGATCTGGGAACGGGGATCGGTGCGTTCCTTAGTAAATCCTGGAAGCTTCCTCTCGTCCTGTATCGAATGCATGTTGTCGAATGGCGCTCGATAGCACCAAAGTGCGCCTAGCAGTGCCGCAAAGCATTCAAATAGCGCCCAGTAACGCCCATTCAAATGGCATGTCCGCCCTGCGCGCGATTAGGCGCGCTATGGGGCGCCGTGGGGACGACCAAAAGCTTCCGAGGCTTGCTTCCTGACGTTCCCGAGAACTTCCGTGGGCCTCTTGGGGGGGGCTTCTCGTCGCCACGGCTCGAGTCGCCTCCGGATTCTGGCCAGGACGCACCCCAGGAGAGGCCTGCGGGGCTGGCGGAGCAGCCCCCTCGAACGTCGGGACTTACGCAACGGGGGGCAGCCAGCCCTCTCTGGCCGACTTGGGTTTTTTGGAGCCGCGTGCGGCCGAGCTCCGCCCTCGGCTGACTCCGGGGGTTTGGGAGCTGTTGAGCGGCCGGCCAGGCTTCGCGACGGGGCTCTGGCCAGCCCGGGTCGGTGCGTCCCCGACGGCGGTCCCTGTCGTGGGCGGGCGGTCGAGCGGATCTCGAGGCTCGGGGGCTTCGAGGCTTGCGGAGGCTCTCGTCGGCTCTCGGCGGCCTGCCATTCTCGGGATGCTCTCCAGCAGCCGCACCTCACCGAGAGCGTTGCGGGGGTGCCCGAATCTTCCCAAACGGCCGCCTGTGAGCCAGGCTATGGCGCGGAAGTCACTGGGCAACGAGGGGGGATCGAGGTCGAAGGATCGAGGCGGGGGGGATCGAAGGACCGAGGGGGGTCGGGACGAGTCAAATGGGTACGGAAAGAATGGGTACAAAGACCGACAGCATGTCCTGTTCATTTTGAACCGGATTCGCTGTCGGTGCTTCCGTGGGCCTTGCCCATCGGAGATTTGAACAACATGTGTTGTTGGGCATCGTACAAATTTCTTCCGTACCCAATTCGGGCGTCCAAAGGGGAGGATCGAAGATGAAGGGGAATCGAGGAAGCCAGACCTCTTCTCGTCGTGTCATAAACAATTAATTTAAAACTATTAGAGAAATTGTAAACATGATGTTCGATTACAAACAAAAAACGACGGGAGGCTTTTTGGTTTTTGCGATGTGGCAATGTTCGGCCTCTACGGGGGCGGTCGCCGGGCCACAGGACCCTCAGAGAAGCGGCTCGGGCTGAAGGACCGGTCCCGGGGCAAGGGGTTGTTGATCGGGGTCCACGGCGTCGAGCGGGTCGGGGCTCGAAAGCTGCCAGATCTCCGACGACACTTTGGCTCAATCGGGGCGTTCAGCTTGGGCCCTGGGGCCATCAGAAACCGATCCAGGACAAAAAACACACCTCCAGGGAAGGGGTCCCGGTTTCTGGGGCCGTTGATTGAGAAGCACAAACATCGGCGATGGTCTTGGTCCGCAGGTTGTCGGAAGTTTTCTGGGCCCAGGGTGGTTTCCATCAGCTGCGCCTCGTCGAGAGCGTTCCGGTGATGCTGGAATCGTCTGGTATGGCCGCGCGGGGAGAGCAGACAGGGAGTCTGCCTTCCGATCTCCCCTTGCTGGCCCAGGAGCCGTGTGAAGCCAACGCCTTCACCAGCACGTGGGCCGAGCCAGAGGGCGATTTGTTTGACAATTTCAATGTTGATTGCCCAGACGAGTGCCAGTAAGGCGTTTGGGCCCCACCCTGCAGCGCCCTCCTGGCCTTCCACGCAGGACGCAGTCGCAGTGCAGCCGACGCCCCCACCCCTCCATCCGCTGACCCCGGTCTGGGAGGTTGCTTCCTGGCTGATCCGGGTTCGGGGCAGGGCCTTGGCTGACCCAAGTCAGACGGAGCAAGCTGCTCGCGTAAGGTCGCGCGTGAGCGCCCTCGCTTCCAGCGCAGCGTGCCGCGCTGGCGGCCCGCGTCAGCCGCCGCGCAAGGTCGCTGTGTCATCTCGCGCACGACCCAGTTTTGATCGCCGCTCACATCGGTTTCCAGAGCGAAGCCCCGAGCGCAGAGATCCGGTGTCTTGCTTCGTGCCGCGCGGGGTCCCTGGAAGCCGCGGCCCTCTACCCAGGCCGACTTGTTCCTCCCGAGGCGCCCGGCGAGGGCCCGGCGCTTGGCGAGGCCCCCAGGAGCTGCATGCGGAGAGAAGCTTGCGCCTCGTGTTGTGTGTCTGGACCTTCGAAGCCAGAGCCTCTCGGGCCGAACGGCAGGGGGGGACAGGGAAAGGGGGGGTTACGAAATCTGCTGCGTGCAGCTGGTTTTGGCCCCGCCGCCGGGCCCATTCCTCGATGCATGGGCGCCTCCTGGCGCTCTGGGAGGCGCTGGGAAGATCAGTTACGTGAGCCGATTCTCCACCCTGCCCTTTGCTATCCCCCCCTTTCGTTCCCCCCGAGCCTGGGGGGGCGCCCCTGCCTCCGTCACAGAATCGGCGGCCCCGAGGCGGAGCCCGGCGCCCCCGTTGCCGCTTCGCCAGACGCGGCGGTTGGCGACGCCGCGTCGGGCATCCGGCTGGTGTGGCTGCCGCTGGGGGGCGGCCCGCCCGGGGCGGAACGTCTGCTCGCCACGCCGCCCTGCTGCGGGGGCCCCCAAACGGAGCGGTGACCACACCGCCGCGGTGAGCCAGTGGGGATTCGGGGGTCACCGCACGGTGTTGGGCTTCGGGTCGTGCTCCGAGGACGTCTCTCGGGCGGTTGGGGCCTCCGAGGTCCCAAAACCGTGCGGTTTCAGACCG